ATACACTGTATTAGTATCCACTGTTTCTAAATGCAGTTCTAAAAGACATTGGAAAGATGCCTATATTCCATTAAAAGAGGAAGCTTGAAATAAATTTAAAAAAATAACAAGAACAGTATATATTTTATATAAAATAGAGCGATAGAGGTGACATTAGGTCATAGGAATGCATGTACAATTCAGATGTATATTAAAATAGCAAGACAAATGCAGTGCTTCTGAATGAAAAAAAAAGAAATAAATAAAATACAAGAATACAATATCTTGCACATTAGCATTAGAATGGTGGCAAAATAAAACTATATAGTGATTTAGCAAAGTTCAACAGGGACTGCTAGAATACAGCTGTAACATTAGGAAATGAAAATTGCATGAAGTAGCCTTACAACTGTTTTTGTTGTTTGTTTGTGGGCAGGGCCGGACTGGCCCACTGGGATACCCACTGGGATACCGGTAAATTTCCCGGTGGGCCGCAGCACCTGGGGGCTGGGACCGATCAGACAACCCTAAATTAGGGCACCTGCAAGGGAGTGAGCTTCTGTGTGTGCCTGCTAGTGAGTGAGCTTGTGTGTGTGTGTATGTGTTTCTGCTAGTGAGTGAGCGTGTGTGTGTGTGCCTGCTAGTGAATGAGCTTGTGTGTGTGCGCGCGTCTGCTAGTGAGTGAGCTTGTGTGTGCCTGCTAGTGAGTGAGCTTGTGTGTGTGTGCAGTGAGCATGTCTGTAGTAAGCATGTGTGTGACCATGAGCTTGTCTGTAATGAGAATGTGTGTGTCAGTGAGCTTGTCTGTAGTGAACCTGTGTGTTAGTGAGCTCTTCTGTAGAGAGAGTGTTTGCATCAGTGAGCTTGGGGGTTTCTTTAATTTAAATGATTTTCCCCTTGGACTCAGACAGCCTGTGTCAGTCCATGGGGAGTAAAGAGGGAGGAGCTGGTGCGGCCGCAATCACGGGGCAGGCAGCTGGAGGGAGACCTGTCAGTCTCCCTTCAAAATTTACAGCAAGCTGACCTCGCTGGAATGAAGAGGCCAGACAATGACACCTTCACCTACCAGTGCTAGTGAGTGAGCTTGTGTGTGTGTGCGCTAGTGAGGGAGCGTGTGTGTGTGTGTGTGTGAGCCCATCTGCTAGTGAGGGAGTTTGTGCCTGCTAGTGCGTGAGCTTGTGTGTGTGCGCATCTGCTAGTGAGTGAGCTTCTGTGTGTGTGCGCGTCTGCTAGTGACTGAGCTTCTGTGTGTGTGCATCTGCAAGGGAGTGAGCTTCTGTGTGTGCCTGCTAGTGAGTGAGCTTGTGTGTGTGTGTGTATGTGTTTCTGCTAGTGAGTGAGCGTGTGTGTGTGTGTGTGCCTGCTAGCGAATGAGCTTGTGTGTGTGCGCGTGTCTGCTAGTGAGTGAGCTTGTGTGTGCCTGCTAGTGAGTGACCTTGTGTGTGTGTGCAGTGAGCATGTCTGTAGTAAGCTTGTGTGTGACCGTGAGCTTGTCTGTAATGAGAATGTGTGTGTCAGTGAGCTTGTCTGTAGTGAACCTGTGTGTTAGTGAGCTCTTCTGTAGAGAGAGTGTTTGTGTCAGTGAGCTTGGGGGTTTCTATATGTGTGGGATGTATATTTCCTAGTTTATGTTTTGTGATCTGTAACTCTAGTGCCTGGGGGATAAATGGGGTTAGGCAAATGTCTCTATTGGATATGGTATTGAATCAATGGTTTCCTATTTCTAGAAGGCTTGTTCATTACTATAACAAAAGTCTTCCTATCTGAGAGGCAAGCAAGACATATGGCATGTGAGCGCAGACTTCCAGGGACATGTCTGTGTGACTTCCCTTACCCTACAGAATAGCTCTGCTGGAGTCCAAGCTTCGAAGAGGAACTGGGGTTGTAAGCTAGGACATTCCATGCAATCAATTAACCCCTTTTAAAATTGGTAATATACTTTTGGGTTTTTGTAAAAATGTATGTTTTCTGTGCCTGGAGATAATTGGATTAGTACATTTACTGGTTCAATTATCTAACAGACACAGGGGAAGGATTGTCCTATATTGTATGGGAGTGTCCTGGACCTAGGAGCCAAAGTAATTGTGTGTATGTTTTTACTGTAGTCTACTCTCAGGTCCAAGGGGGAGTGCCCCTTGCATATATAAGGTCAGTTGTGGCTGCCAATAAATGAGTTCTAGTTTACCCTCAACACAGAGCCTTGTCTCGTGATTGTAGGGAACCGCTATACCAGCTATAATCCCTGCTCTTGGGATTGTTCTTTGGATTGCTATAATCACTAGCTCTTGTAAGAGCTACACAGCTATATCTGCTATACTCTCTTGGAGTAGAGGTCTTCTCACTGGGAGCTGGATCCAGGAGTTTGGTCAAGGGTGAGAAGGGACGGTGAGACCCCAACCAAGCTGTAACACTGGAAGTGGGGACTACAGTGCTGATGGTGTCTGGTGGAGTTCTTGGAGTACTCGGTGAGCACTAGGAAGTATTGATTGGCGGAGGTGCCCAGTCGGGGTGCCAGGCGGTCCGTCACAGTGAATAATATAGTATTGGTAATGTATAGGGATGTGCATGGGCAAAATATTTGGTTTGGAAACTTCAGAAATTCGAAATAAAAGAAATAAAAGAGAGAAAAAAAATGAGTCTGCTTTGGCAATTTGGACCATTGGAATTCGGTTCGGTTCGGCACTTCCGCAATTCGGACCCAAACCCTAACCCCTAAACTCTAACCCTAACACACTTCGGAACTTTGCCAATTCGGTTCGGTTCGTCACTTCAGAAATTCGCCACTTCGGACATTAGTAAGTATCTGAATTGCACGAAAAATTCAGCCAAATGTATGTTCGGAATGAAACTAATTGCAAATGTCTAGTAATGGATATATAATTAAGAATTTGAGTTGGTAGGGGATGGCATGATAGAGTTAGATATGGATAATATAACAGGGATCTACAATAATGCATTTGGAATTAAACTAGTAGAGAAAGGGGATATAGAAATGGTGGCTGTATGACATACTGATTTATAGAGGAATAGCATGTTCCACTGCAGTGTACAGTAAGTATACAAAACAATCACACACAAACAATAACAAACAAAAAAAAAGAAACCTATTTGCTCTAGACTTGTGCACAGTGCCTTAAGGGCTTTCCCACATGATGCAATTTCAGTCAGATCACTCTGATTGTTTTTTTTTTGTGCAAGTCAACCAATTAGAGCAATCTGATTCATCTTATAAGGTGTTTCCCTGCCTTGTAAGCTTATTCTGCAGGAAACCCTCAATTGGTGATGATCAATAGTGGAACTAATGTAGGAAGAACATTTTTGGGCTCCACGCTAATGCAAGGGTGGACAAAGATTAGACCCCCATCTCTTGTACAACTTCCAAAATGCTACTATTTGTCCATCTTTGCAGGTATTTGTGAGCAGTGTTTGTGCCATTTAATGTAAGCATGTTTTGTGTGGAGTATGTGTGTGTGTGTGTGTGTGTGTGTGTGTGTGTGCACGTAGGGATGTATTTGTATGTACTGTTGCCATTGGAATTCAATGTAATACATCTATGTAATGTTTACGTTTGAATGCAGGGGTGTGTTTGTATATAGTGTTGGCTTTTCAATGCAAGTGTACTTTTGTGTGTATGATACGTGTTTGAATAAAAAGGGTGTTTGTATATAAATTTGGCATTCTAATATAGAGATGTGGATAGTGATCTGTCCAATCACTATTCTTTAAATTGAAGCCTTCACCCAATAGGGCCCAGAGAGTGTAGCAATAGCTGCCCAGTCACTAGTCTTTTATTACAGCCACTGACTGTTTAGCATACATTCCCTTACTGAGGGCATGGTGAGTGGCAGCATAGGGAAGATATAAAGCCTCTCGTGTACTAATGTAGGGGTCATAACAATTTTAACTATTTGCCTGCTTGCTGCTAATGTCGACAGAAGAAAAATAGTTAACCCCAAATTCCATAGCAACTGAAAAAGCTCACTAAAAGCCATTTTGGCTGCTTTGGGGTTAGGGTATCTGGGGGCTGGAATTTGGTTTTTCGTCCAAATAACAGACTGGCCCAAATTTGAGCAAATCTCGATTCTGCTGCCAGTCTAATTTGCTATATTTTACTGTTCAGATATGAACTGTTGCTTAATCCATACTATGACTACCAAATAACTCAAAGAAAAGCTTTCCAATCAGCTAATGCATGATGCGGCTATGTAGACCCATCTCATCTGCTCCAGTGTAAGACTCCTTAGTAAGTAAAAGCAAAGCAAAAGTAAGTAACTGGAGAGCAAACATACAAAGCATTTTTTCATCACTGTGGGGAACAAGAACACAGAATGTTTAACTCCAAAGCAATGCTGCAAAGCTATAAATGAATTCCCTACACTGCTTTGTTCCCACCACAGGTATGCCTCATCGCGTGCAGAAATGGTTCACTTTTCTATGCAGCTCCCTGCTGGCAGCTCCACTATCAGACAACAGAGAATAAAATAACAAAACATTTATTTTAAATTCTTATTTTACATCTGTGTAAGAAATGTGTTTGCCATTGTTTCTGCCTCTCATTTAAGATGCCACTAATTGAGGAGGTTTTTCACCACTATCGAAGGAGTTTGTAAAATAAAATCCTCCTTTAATCAATAATACTCATTTGGTGTTGCAGGTTTTTAAAGTGTCCCTACGTATTATAATAGTTCAATAATACATGTGCTCTAAAATGGCCTGTTTCTAATGCCCAGGACATGAGTTGCTAACGCTCAACTTGACATTGTTCTTCTTGGAATCTCATTGCATCTTTGCCAGTCTCTTTTTATATTGATACTTAATACAAAGTACAGACAATATATACTGTAAAAATGTATCAGACCACAAGCACAATGAGAAAAATAAGCAATAGGACAGATAAAGACTATTTCACAGCTTTTTCTTTTTTTGTATGTGAAAATAAACAATTAATGCACCCTCCATGTAAATCAGAAGGATCAGAGTTCGACCTGTGCATTTCTTACATATATGAACAAAAATTCATGGCTATACAGTCGCAACTGGATACGTTTAAAGATGGTGGGAGGGCACAACATGAGATGCCATGCCCTGTTTAAAACCAAGTACTTCTCCAGTCATTAATTAAATGGAAGAATAGAACCTGTAGATATAATTTCAGAAACATGTTTTTTTCTAACACTCACTTATGAGTAGTCCTTACAATTTATTTATTTAGCAAAATCTTTTTACAGCTATAGACAAGACTGCATTTAACAACCGTAACACAGACGTGCTCACATTAATCTGTTTAGGAGCCATTTAAAGCATGGGGGTATGTTCCCAGCCTTGGGGGGCATGTCCCCAGACACTTGCCATAGATGTACTTAAACAAGCAGTGTGATGTATTTAAGTAAAGGGGTAGGCTTGTAGTTGAAGCATACTTTTGGTTGGATCCAGGAAAACAACATTCATAATATAATGAGGGATTTGTCTCCTCCAAATAGAGGAGAGCAAGGTAAAATGAATAGGTAGGAGAGGTTAAAATGGATGGAGGAGTGTGTTTAAAAGAATTACAGCTGAACACTGTTCCTTTCATCCAATAACCATTAAGCAGCGGTGAGTTGACATATAAGAAGGAAATATAGTCTATGCTTTGCATTCTGTTGTAATTTTTTCACAACTCACAAAGCAAACCCCCTTTTAAACAGAAAGGGATAAACACCAACCTATCTCTTTCACACACTTGACTGTTAGCAGATTGCCTGCTCTTGTATAACGTAATATAGTCGTCAAATATCAGTGTTTAGCTGTCTGGTACGACAGAATGGGGTATTGTGTTAGAAAAGGAGTGAGAATGGGGCATTTATTCACCTCTTGGAGTCGCCTCGCAGACATGTTTCACATTTTTCACAGCTTCCAAAGTTAGAAAGAAAAAAATAGCGAGCAATTCAACCATGGCAATTGCGCACTTCTCTGGATGAATAATGAATTATATATATATATTTTTCTTTCTTAGATTATTATGTCACCTGTCAGAAAATTACCTATAGCTGCAGTAAAATAGCTATTAAAACGGGAATAGAAATGCAGTATAAAAGTATAACGGTTTTTTAAAAAAAGAGAGAGAGAGAAAAAATCTAATAGTGCTGGGTATGGAGTTGTAGAGCATAGCCAAATTGTTCCAAACAGAGCTGGAGGGATTGTATGTCATTGCAGAGAAAAATTAAGAACAGATGGCCGGGGAAAAAAAAAAGCACAGAAGTAGATGGGGGCACTGAATGCAAGTGAAATGGCAAAGCACTTATTGCAGAAATAGTTCAGCATTCAGATCCCATTAAAGGGGCAATTTAATCTACAAACATTATTGCACGCATTGACATTTTACAGCCTGAAAAATTGTATGTGCCCTTTTTTTCCTTTAGACACCTTGTGCATTGTCAGGCATAATTACCCATTTAAAATGTGTTGTGCCTCCTGCTATCAGCCTTTTAAATGTTTGCAGTTACGATTTTTAGATATATGAATAAAAATCAACAAAAAAAGTGTGCTGGCAACGGCTTACATTTGATTGTCTCCTTATCCACTGCAAATCTAGTTAGAATGCTGTTGGAACTGAAAGTGATATTTTAATTTTCTACTAGCATTGCTTACAAAGTATTATATAAAGAGGCAATGATTGGTATCAATGACTCCCCTGTTCGTACATCAATAAGGCTAAGGGTAACATCTCAGGTGTTCCCTCAAAAAAATGTATACATCCCTCCCCCGAGTTATATGACAGATAGATAGACAGGCAGAATGGTGTACACTGTGTTTCACGGAATATCTGAGATTGTTTTCATGCTTACACCAAATCAACTAAATCATGGGACTTTGAAATATTATGAAAAGGGTTTGCCCAGAAACCTGAATGTTTAACAATACTCCAGGACAATTCTTGGCTAATTCAGGGTAGAGGGCTGACATTTTACAGATCTTTGAATAGAAATAATACTTGCCAACTTTAGCAAGTTTAACCCCTTAAGGACCAAACTTCTGGGATAAAAGGGAATCATGACATGTCACACATGCCATGTGTCCTTAAGGGGTTAAAGCCTAGACAGGAGGGATGCTGTTGGTGGGAACAACATGAGGGAGAATCATTGACACTAATTGCATCATGTCTCCATATGATCACACTTCCTTATGTTCCTAAATTGATAATCTAATAAAATGAGCAGATGATGCTCAAATCAGCCCAGCAGTTAACTTTGCAATCAGCTTTAATAACCCCAATCACAAACTTTAACTTCTAGGCAAAATTGTAAGTAGGACAGGAATCCAAAAAGTGCAACTATTCCTGCATAAGCAGGACATTTGGCAACTCTCAGAGATCAGCTGCCTTAAATGTTTATGTTGGCTTAGACTGAGGTTGCATTACATTCTGTTATTGCCAGGATGGAGTGGACTTTAAGCATGGATACCAGGTGTCCCAGTTTGACCAGTATTGACCCTGTTTAGCAGCGCTAACCCGTTTGGTAATTCTGCCCGGGCATCACAGGCGTGGAACTGGGGCCTGCATGCTGTTGAGGCCCTTTGGGTGCCCCTCACACTTAGGGACACCCGATGGATATCTTTAATCTTTAGCCCAGCAGGGCACCATGGTCCTTTAACACCAAACCTGGGCCCCATCAGATGGTGCTGTGAGGAAGTGAGAGCAGATCATTTCAAATGAAAAAAAAACAAAAAAAATTAAATTAATTTCTATGCAAGTCCTGATTTTGTTAGACCCTCGTATACTTAGTTTATAATATTATTTTCATTATTTGTATTATTATTAATATTATTTCTGACAGCTATAAGGCATACAGCTAGATCCAGAAATATTTGGACATTGACACAAGTTGTGTTATTTACCAAAATAAATTCAAGTTACTTTTATATAATAAATATGGGCTTAGACTGCTTAAATTGCAGTCCCTCGGCTTCATTTTGAGGGTATACACATAAAAATTGAAGGAAGGGTTTAGGAATTACAGCTCTTTTCAAGGGACCAAAAGTAATTAGACAATAGACTCAAAAGGTATTTCATGGACAGCTTTGTTAGTTCTTCATCAATTAAGCAGGTAAACGTCTGGAGTTGAATTAAGGTGTGGCATACACATTTGGAAGCTGTTGCTGTGAACCCACAACTTGTGGTCAAAGGAGCTCTCAATGCAAGTGAAGCAGGCCAGCCTTAGGCTGCAAAAAATAAAATCTGTCAGAGAGATAACAGGGACATTAGGATTGGTCAAATCAACAGTTTGGTACATTCTGAGAAAAAAAGAATGCACTGGTGAGCTCTGCAACACAAAAAGACCTGGACATCCACGGAAACATCTGACCAAATGAAGAACACACTCCAGGAGGTAGGCATAGTATTATCCAAGTCTACCATTGTAGCGGATACCATTTGGCTGTCCATCACATTTTTTATTTGGCAACAGTATTTTCTTCTGTTTTATTGTGTGCAAGCAATTTTGTTACTAAGCATTCGTCTGGTTGTTCAGTAAAAAGCTATGGATACTAAAGTGAATCATCTCATTCGACTACCGAACAACCAGACCACCCTTGAGCGAAGTGTGGCTCCAATTTACCTCCCCAGTCGTCTTTATTGCCAGCTAATTGAAAAACATACAAACGCACTGTGTTTTCCCTGGGTGGCCACCATTCGGCATACGAACACGTGGTGGCGGCCATCTTGCCATACGAACGCCCAGCGGTGTTTGGTCGTTGAGTGTCTGGAACCCAAATCGGACACTCAACCACGCGAACACCGCTGTGACCTCCAGACTTCCATCCCTGTGCAAGGAAACACACCAACAGCCCGACATTCGGTAAAATGAATCCCACGAACAAGGGGATTCATACGAATACAAGCACAGCCCTTTATATTCAGTATTTTCGTGACTTTTACTCCACGAACAGAGACCAACCGCAAGGCCAAAATGCATGGAACTGATTTCTGCTAAACAAATACATCCATGTAATTCCCAAACCCCTGGTCCGATCTGGGTGATTTTTTTAGTATGTTGCTCACCCAGATCAGGGCTACAAGGGGATGTAAGATTTAGGGGTGTATCCTATGTATTTGGGGTACATCCAGAAAACGGGGAAAAGTGTGTACTGAATAATTTGATTATCTGTCAGGCTGAGGGGAGATGTGTGGGTTGTAACCTGTGTATGATTGGATACTGTATAATTTTCTGGGGTGTCTCCCTTGCAGGGGAGAGAGGCATAAAAGCAGGGTATGTGGAATAAAACAGCAGTTCTGCTCCTGATACTGTGTGTCGTCCAGTTATTATAGGGAAAGGTGATGGGATATTATTATTTTAGTTACTACTGATGCTGTATTTCCTGGGTTAATTACTTGTTCCTGAGCCACTATTGGATTACCAGCGGAGATAGTCTCTGTAGAATAAGCTCTCTGCTACAACCATGAAGAGAAAACTTCACAGGAGCAAATACAGAGGGTTCACCACAAGGTGTAAACAATTCATAAGCCTCAAGAATAGAAAGTCATATTAAAATTTGACAAAAAAAACATCTAAAAAAGCCAGCATTTTTTGAACAGTTTAAACTAAGATCAATCTGTACTAGAGTGGTGGGAAGAAAAAAGTATGAAGAAGTCTTTGTGTGGCTCATGATCTGAAGCATACCACATGTGGTAACAATATCTGTAAAACACGGCAGTGTGATGACATTGGCATGGCTTCCAATGGTACTGGGTCACTAGTGTTTATTGATGATGCGACAGATGACAGAAGCAGACGGATGAATTCTGAAATATATAGGGATATTTTGTTAACTCAGATTCAGCCAAATTCAGCAAAGTTGATTGGATGGGACTTTACTTTACAGATGAACAATGACCCAAAACATATTGCGAAAGCAACCCAGGAGTTTTTTTAAGGCAACGTGGAATATTCTGCAATGACTGAGTCAATCGCCTGATCTCAACCCAATTGAGCATGCATTCCATTTGCTAAAGAGAACTTAAGGCAGAAAGGCCCATGAACAAACAACAAGACCCCTGCAGTAAGTGCCTGGCAAAGCATCACAAAGGAGGAAACACAGCATTTGGTGATGTCCATGCATTCCAAACTTTAAGCAGCCTGCAAGAGACTCTCGACAAAGTATTAAAAATTAACATTTTATTTATGATTGTGTTTATCTGTCCAATTACATTTGAGCCCGTGAAAAAAAGAGTACTTTGTTTGAAAATGGTTGCAATTCCAAAATGTTTCATATGGTATTTTTGATCAACCCATTGAATTAAAGCTGAAAGTCTTCACTTTAATTGCATCTCAGTTGTTTCATTTCAAATCCATTGTGGTGGCGTACAGAGCCAAAATTGTGAAAATTGTGTCAGCGTCCAAATATTTTCAGACCTAACTGTATATTGCAAGAAGTGCATAACTGTTTCAGTGAAATATATGTGTATACAAACAATGTAAACATTTTACTGAGCAACTGAAGTGCACAATACAATTTAGAATATTTTCCTCAAACGAGTATAAAGTTAATGAAAATTTAACTAATCATATGCAAAGATATTTGCTAAATTTAAACACATCCCCTGGCTATGACTGACACAGCCTACATGAAAACAAAATGCTTACATTTTCAATTAGATGTTAACTTACTTTAAATGTTTTTATCTCCTGCTCTGTAAATTAACCCCTTAACGACCTAGGACGATTCAGGACCGTCATCGGCATTTTTGCATTGCTGACCTATGACGGTCCTGAACCGTCCTAACGGTCTTATGTACTTACCCGATCGCCGTCGTTCCCCCGGCGGTGATCGGCAGTGCTCCTGGTGTGGGGAGACTGCCTGCAGCCCAGACAGTCTCCCCATGGTGGATTAGGACCCCGGGGACCATGTGATCACTCAACAGAGCGATCACATGGTCACAATAGGTGTCCTAGTGTCTGCCTGCAGTGGGACTGCCTGTGCTGACAGGCAGTCTCCCTGCTAGTGTAAAATAAAATAAAAATAGTGTTAATAAATAAAAATATTATTATATATGTCTATATAATGTCATACTAAGTGTATTTTTATAAAAATACACTTATAATTAAATTACACACGTATATATACAATATATATATTAACTATATATATTGTATATATATATTATTATAAAATACAAATAAGTAAATTAAATTAAATAAAAAAATGTAAAAATAATAATTTTTAAAAAAATTATATATCTATATGAAATTTTATTCTAACTGTATTTTGATATTAATATATATATATATATATATATATATATATATATATATATATATTTATATCAAAATACACTTAGAATGAAATGGTATATATATATATCTATGAATATATAAATAAATAAAAATAATACAAAATATACATGTCCATATCCAAAATTACATAAATAATTATATAAATATACACGTAGACTTCAAATATATAAATATGCATATATATATTTAAATTTTACGTCCGTATTTATGTAATATTTTTACATAATTAAGTAATTTTATTAATTGCAATTTGAAGGACCTGCCTGCCAACCCAGGCCGAAAGTTCAGAGAATTTAATTTGCTAGCACTGTATTTTACCCTGTAACGTTCTACGACACCCTAAAACCTGTACATGGGGGGTACTGTTTTACTCGGGAGACTTCGCTGAACACAAATATTAGTGATTCAAAACAGTAAAAACTATCACAGCGATGATATTGTCAGTGAAAGTGACTTTTTTCGCATTTTTCACACACAAACAGCACTTTTACTGATGATATAATTGTTGTGATACGTTTTCCTGTTTTGAAACACTAATATATGTGTTCAGCAAAGTCTCCCGAGTATAACAGTACCCCACATGTAGAGGTTTTATAGTGTTTGTGCAAGTTACAGGGTCAAATATAAGGCTTGATTTTACTCTCTTAATAAAAGTATTTTTCTACCCCTGTGGTAAACAACAGCACATACAGCAAGATCTTCAACATTGGCTTTTATTACATTCCATCGTTGGCAACTGATCAAAAAATTTTGTCTTGACAGTTTTTAAAGCAAAAAAAAAAGTAATGAATCTTCTTTTTCCCACTGTAGTGGTTATATTGCCAGGAATGTCCCGGCGTCCTCTTCATTTTAAGTTGTGAAATGCTCTAAGCAGAGTGGAGGTGGGGAGTGATGCATGTTAACTCTCCTGAGCATCATCTAATAAAGCTTAGCCCCTCCAACATTAGCTCAATAAAGAAAGCTTCTAACAGAGAAGATGTGTAGAGCAGCACTTGTCTGACTCCAGGTAAGTAGTCAACTGTTCTAAAACAGACAGTCAACACACACATCACACATATTACATCCTGCCACCAATGGCATTATTATAGATCCTCTAACTGAACCTTTGCTTAAAGCCTCAGAAAATCCAGTCCCCTCAGGTTATACACCTACACCACCAGCCACCCTGCAGGCATGCCAGAGTGCCCATATGAGAGGGGTAAGCAATGTGTGGCATGTCCCTATCAGCAGAGCCTGATTTACACGTCAGGTGCATAGTGACTTCTAACTTCTACGGCTGTTAAGTGTTAAGAGGATTAAAAGCTTGAAAGAGATTATAGTTCCAGTACAAACTCATATACAGGTACTGAAGGAGCTGAGACAACATCTAGTATGACTCCTTTGATAACTCTTCCTGCAGCTCTGCTATGAAACATAGAAGGCTGACTGAACTACAGAGGGCACTGGCCAAGGCCCCCACTACTTACCTCTCCTTACCAGCCCACCTGTGCTCCAAAAAGAAATATTATACATTATATGAATAGGCACAACATACAGGACGGGCACATGTAGGCCTCTGCCTAATGGGAAATCCTGCTCTGCCTATGAACCCCCAACCAGCTGCTTGGTTCCCTATCCGCACCCTGCCCAATGAGCTGTATGATTCCTTATCAGCAAAAGGACAACCACTAAATGTTGATTTTATTGACAAAAGGGAAAAACACTGACAACTAAACAAGAGTGTGAAAAAATAAGTAGGGCTAAAACAACCTATTGTCCCAACCAGAGTTTTTCCAGACAATTTGATTGTGCTATTGAGGAAGACAGACCAGCAGTGATACTGTCAGGTTTATTCACTAAAATGAGTACCAAAAACAATATAAAATTTAAGATACAAAAATAGCAAAACTGGAAAATTTCTCAGTCAATGGGTGTCACGCCATAAGTCGCCCTTACCTTCTAGGAGTGCTGGTGCCAGGGTGCCAGTGCTGTCGGTGGCGCTCATGTCATGTGTACATACTGATGCCGACCACTGCGCATCAAAGACATATAAAAACTCTGCCTACGTATATGACACGGACGTGCATATGCGAAGTCATGTGATCGCAAATAGCAAATCACAGCCCTATTAGGGCTACTTAAACTTTAGTTAGGCATTTGCTCAGTGCCATATCATGATTTCCATTTCTGATAAATCCAAGAGAACATATTTTTATTGATTCCTCTGTGTTAATGACTTTTGACTTGTACGTTGACTATTTTGACTTCTATTATCATTGACCTTGGCTTGTTTCATATATATCTTCTCTCTATTATCCTGAACTTGGCTTGTCCTGTTCATTCTAGTTTTTACATTATATCCAGCCTCTCTGATATACAAATTGTTGGTTTTTTTTGTATTCTATAATTGATTATTTGGGTTCAGACTATCCTGATATTATCACAGGGCCATGGACCCTCCAGACCTTACTTGTAAAATGTCAACTTGTGCATCAAAGGTGGAGGAACTTCATCATTGTATACATAAGTGCTCAGACATTTCAGACTTTTCTGGCACATATTGCCCATCTACAGCCTAAATCGCCTTACTGCTTCACAACCTCATCAACAGTCAGCTATTGCTCATAGAGCCCTTTCTATAAGCCTCTCTCCTCCTCCTAGATTTGGCAGTAGAGACACTAATGAGTGTAGTGTGGTTTTCAACCAAACCAAATGCCACTTCGAAGTGCCTACCAGGTATTTTTTATTTGATAGGGCTAAGACTGGTTATCTTGCGAACCATATTGCTTATGACTACTTTGAATTAGTACATAATATAGGTTAAGGAACAGCACACTTAAAAATTAATTTTTAGATGTTCTAAGGCTACTTAAAATCACATATCTCAGCAAATAAATATGGGACTTCAGTTCCACCATATGGCCATATTGTTTTAAACCCACCACTACTTCACAGTACTCCAATGCAGTGGCAGATCCAGGAGGGGGGCAATTCACCCCCCCAAGAAAAACAGAGCAGACCAAAGGTCTCCCTCTCCCCTGCCAGCAAATGTAGGCGCCGGCCCTGCAATGTGCCTTCATGGACCGGAGGGGAGATCAGAGATCTCCCTCCCTGGTCTGCAGGAACCGTGCTGGCAGCCGGCAGGGGATGGAGGGAGAGAGGACCCGGGAGCTCAGCCTGCAGCTCCTCTGGGTCCTTCTCTCACGAGCACGGAGAGTTGCCGCGGTTACCACGGCAACGCTCCGGATCTCGCGAGAGTGAACTATAGCCCTGGAGCTGCGTGCTAGAGTTCACTCTTACCACTGGGACCAACAGGGACTCCCCACCGGACCACCAGGGATCGAGAAATGTCACATAATGCATATTTGTTTTAATTAAATTTAAAAAAACAACACATATAAGAAGGGTAGGGGGGCTTTTTTATAATATGTGTGGTTGTTTTAAATTTATTTAATATGTATGTATGGGGGCAATGTATGTGTGTGTGGGGGCAATGTGTGTGTATGATAAGAAGGGCTTTTTTTTTATAACCACACACATACACACACACATTGCCCCCCACACACACACACACACACACTGCCCCATACACACATTGTCCCCATACACACATTGCCTCCATACATACACACTGCTCCACATACACACACACTGCCACCCATACACACATTGCCCCCATACACATACACTGCCCCATACACATATTTACCCCATACACACACATTGCCCCATACACACACTGCCTCCCATACACACTTCCTGCCATACACACACACTGCCCCAGTACACACATACACTGCCCCCTATACGCATACACTGCCCCCCATACACACACTACCCCCATACACACACTGCCCCCCATACACACACTGCCCCCCATACACACACTGCCCCCCCACACATACATTGCCCCACACATATACACTGCCCCCCGTACACACACTGCCCCCCATACACACACTGTCCCATACACACACTGCCCCCCATACACACATTTTACAATAATGCG